CTCTCTCTTTTTCTCTCTCTCTCTCCAAGAGACACACATTCAGCCACACAGAGCCACGTAGCTATACAATCCACAGTCACATAGCCCCAGAGAAACACACACACATAATCACCCAGGGACAAACACACCCATATAGAGATTGACATATCTCCAGACAGATAGACATACCCACAAAGAAATGCACAGAGACACAGAACCATATAATCCATTCAGAGTTTCACATACACATACAGAGGCAAACAGCATCACACACCCACTGGTATACACACAAACACAATCAGTCACTTGTACTTAGATATCCACACACAGAATCCTAAATAGGCAGATACAGAAACCCACAAAGTCACACTGAATTAAGTACATACACACAGTATCACACACACAGAAAACCGCACACACAGTGACAGACATTCACCTACCCAGGAACACGTTCCAAGAAACAAATACAGACATGTAAACACCTAGAAACACTGATACTTAGAGAAAAGCACCCAGAGATGTAGAGAGATGCATGCATAGAGACCCACACGTGAAGTTTCATCTAGGCATTCACACACACACACACACACACACACACACTCAGAAAGATAAAGACCTACACAGATAAAGGAGATAGGCCCACACAGAGACAGATATCGAGAGAGACATACAGAAGCAGAGACAGACACATATAGACAGAAAAATAGAAACAGACATACGTAAGATGAGATACAGAAAGAGTCAGAGATCCAATCTGGGACAGAGACAGAGCAGAGACCCATATACAGAGCCAGACAGAGCCAGAAACATATACAGAACCACACACACACACACACACACACACACACACACACACAGAAATAGAACTACACATAGACAAAGACACAGAGAAACAGAAACAGACATACACTGAGACAGTCACACAGAGAATGAGGTAGAGCTATACACATGGAGACAGAGACATATGGAGGCACACACTGAAAGAAAAAACACATACAGGTAAAGTAACACAGAGAGACAGCTAGCAGTGAACAAGCAATCAACGGAACAAACAGAGAGACAAAGGGGGGAATATGAGAGACAGGGACAGAGAGGGAGGGAGGGAGGGAGAGAGAGAGAAAGAGAGAGAGAGAGAAAGAGAGAGAGAGAAAGGAAAGAAAGAAAGAAAGAAAGAAAGAAAGAAAGAAAGAAAGAAAGAAAGAAAGAAAGAGAGAGAGAGAGAGAGAGAGAAAGAGAGAGAGAAAGGAAAGAAAGAAAGACAGAAAGAGAGAGAGAGAGAGAGAGAGAAAGAAAGAAAGAAAGAAAGAAAGAAAGAAAGAAAGAAAGAAAGAAAGAAAGAAAGAAAGAAAGAAAGAAAGAAAGAAAGAAAGAAAGAAAGACACAGAGAAAGACCCTGAACCCAAGGCAGAGCCAGAGATCAACTTGGGGAGCAAGGCACAGACAAACAGAGCAAAAGAGCAACAAACAAATTGAACTACAAACATACCATACAAGACGCGGAGAGCCCTCGAGGAGCTCTTAGACATAATAGCCTGGAATTATGGGATCGCCTAAACAAGGGCTCCTTAACCTTTTTCTGTGTCTCAGACCCTTTTGGCAGTCTGGTGAAAGCTATGAACTCTTCAAAATAATGTTTTTAAATGAATAAAACAAAACATACAGTGTCACAAAGCAAACTAGCTATTCTGAAATACAATGATCAAAAAATATTTTAAAACAAGTTCATAGACCCCATGTTAAAAAACCCTGACCTAGAATATCTAATAAGGAAAAAAATCAAAGAATGAAGAGAGAAGAGGGTCAGCTGAAGGAACAAGGAATGTCTCTCTTGAAGAAAAAACTAGGGGATGGTGAGAGGGCTAGGCTAGAGGGATGTGATTACCATCCTCATTTATGAGACAATCACAGAATCTCAAGGGTTGTTAGGCACCTCAGAGACTATCTAGTCCATATTTTAATTGGAATCAGTGTGTCTGTCTGTCTCTCATCTGTCTTTGTGTGGGTGTCTCTCTCTCCCTCCCTCCCTCACTCCTTCCCCCCTTCCTCATCCTCTGTCTCCCTGGCTGACTATAGATCACTCTCCTGCTTTTCCAATCCACCCCTCTGGTTCTTTCAATCTATTGCTCACACACTGTACAGTTGTCTCTGTGTGTTACTTCTCCTGTATATTGTTCCTGTACAGTTCTCTCTGTGTGTTACTTCTCCTGTATATTGTTCTTGTACAGTTCTCTCTGTGTATACAATATGTCCAAGTGGTCAACCTGCCCTCTGTTTACTCAAATGAGAAGGAACCCATTGATGAGTAGGGGATATATTTGAAGGGCTATCAAGTGGAAGAAAGATTATAAACTTGATCTGCTTGAACCCCAGAAGGCAGAACTATTAGAAATGTGCGGAAACTTCACAGAAACAGATTTCAGTTCAATAAAAGGAAATTACAATTGAAATTGTCCCAAGGACCAAATGAGACAATATCTGCAAAAGCACTTAGTACACCTGGTGCATATAGGCACTATCTAAATGCCTATTCTCTTCCCTAATGGGGAAGACAGCTGCCTTAGGAAATAGAAAGGCTACTCAATGGAGGTCTTCAACCAGTTAAGGATGGTGTGGCTGGAATTCTCTTGATAGAGAGGTGAAGGACTCAGAGTGCAGAATGAGACAACTGATTTTTTTTTGACATGGCCAATGTGAAAATTTGTTTTGATTGACTATACATGTTTTTAATGGGTTGTATTTTGCTTGTGCTCTCAACTGAGGGGGAGGTTGGAGTGGAAAGGTGAGAAGGCAGATCTCAGCTGATTAAATAATTTTTTTCAGTTCAATATAAGGAAATGATTTCTAAGGATCAGAGGAGTCCAAAAGAAGTGGCTGCCCCAGGAGCTAGTAAATTTCATCACTGGAGGTGTTCAGTCACAAACTGGATAATCTCCGATGTAGTCTCTGTCTCTGTGTCATCCAGAATTCATCCATCAGGGAGAGAATGAGTCCAGAGGACCTCAGAAATCCCCTCCAACTGTAGGATTCTATACTATACTATATATATATACTAGGATTCTATATTGCATCTTATAAAGTTTGAGCAGAGGGTAAATACAGTTAATGCTATTTTTCTGTTACAACTATGTCCATATTTTTCCCTCTCAAAAATCTTGTTTTGGGGATACAAATCAGATGTTCAGGGTGGCTTATATCCAGACCAATGTGATAACCTCAAGAGTAGTCATAATTCATGAAATGTTCATTCACTAATAGAATGGCCACCAGCTATATAGCATCACCCAGTATTAGGCACCTATGGCAAGGTATCACCCAGGCATATGCCCCATGATCTTTGGGGCCCCATATCAAACATCTATCAGGCCCCCTTTCCCTGAGCTCTCTCTGCCCTCTCCATCAATACAAATTAGCAACTCGGTTATAACATTCAGTGTCAGTTGCCCAGGACATTAAGAGATTAGGTAACTTACTCATGGTTGCTTGTCAAATACCAGAGGGTGCCATAATAGGTATTTAACAAATCTATTCAACTGAATTCCACCAGTCTTGGTGTATAAGTCACTGACTCATGTCATTATATTCAGATGTAATAATAATAATAAATTTTCATTTCCTTAGCATTTTAATGTTTACAAAGCATTCTCTTCACAGCCAGCCTTGATGTAGGAAGTGAATGCATTATTTTCCCTGTTTTACAAATAAGGAAACAGAAGCTCCAAAAGGTTAATGTGACAGGGACCACCAGAAAAGGAGAAGTGGCTGAGACCCAAGTTTGGGGACCCAGGGTCAAAGAAACTAAGGAGAGGGTATTTCCAAAATTATACAACCCAGGTGTGCCATGTAAGGGCATGTAATCTGAAATGAACAGTAAACAAAGAGTACCTGGGTATGAGGTATGGAATAGTCTACAACTAGTACAAAGATCTAGGGCCTTTCCTACCAGGGATCCTCCCCACTAGTGCCCCACCCCAGGACCTTAAGGAAGCTATAGTTTGCTCAGGGAAAGGGGTCTGAGTAACATTCCATAGAGAGCCCAGGATAAGGAGAGCATCATTGCGCTCCACCATCAGGAGCTCTCTGTTTCCTCCCTCACTATATCTACAGCCAGGATTGGAATTTCAGAGAAGACTTCCCCAGGGGGGCAATGGAGGAGGTGCCCAAGTGATAACCTGACACAAGGGTCATAGGATATGGAACTGGAAGGGACCTTGGAGGTCATTTAGTCCAATTCCACCATTTTACAGAAAAAGAAATGATTTGCCCCAGGCCACACAAGCAGTCAGAGCTGGGATTGATGCTTTGTCTCCTAACTGTCAATCCAGGGCTCTTCCCCCTATACACCATAGACCCTCCATGGATATTTTCTTTTGCAAGTCAAAGGTGTTTGGACCTTATCTATCTCTACTTTTTCTTCCCAGATGCAGACTCAACAGAACAGTACACTTCCTTCTATAAGCTAGCTAGTTCCCAGGAGACCAAGCCATGGAGCAAATGGCACGTAGGCTCTCCTTCCTCCCTCTCAGGAAAGGGTCTTTAAGTGTTGTTCTTACATTCAATTAACATATATGTGTGTGTATATATATATGTATTTTGTATGCATATGTGTGTGCATGCACATGTATATGGGCATGTTACATCCCCATTATAATAGAAGCTCCTTGGGAGCAGGAACTCCTTCACTTTAGTGTTTATACGCCCAGCACTTATTAACTACTTAATAAATGCTTGTTGATTGATTAATCAATGCCATGCCCAACACTGGCTCTTCTACTCTATCTTCTTTGTTTGTTACCAGTTGTTCCTAGAGACTGGTAACACTAACTGAGTTTAAGAATGGCAGGTAATACCACTACCTGAGCCACCATCTAAACTTATAATCATCCAAAGCATTCAGGGTGACAGAAGAAACTGGTCTCTGTGGTCCCCAATACCCTAACCCCCTGGGATTTAGGAATGGACAGATGCCCAGACAGATCTTGTCATAGTTTGAGTAACAGACCCCCCCGATGAGCTTAGCCAACCTTCTCCACAGCCGCCACTGAGTCTTTCTTTTCCTTCTGCCTAGAATAATCCTCATTTTCTTTCTGTGCATTTCTGATCCGCATCCAAGCTTCACCTTGAGGTCTCACCAAGTTCACCGTCTTAGAGGTGACAGGGCTGTAAGGTTTCTGTAAAGAAAGAGAAGCACACTACCCCCACCCCCACACACAGGTCCAAGTTATTTCTCTAAGGCAACTTGAGATTCCTGAGGGAATGATACCCACATTCCATTCAAGGCCCATATCAGCTGATGTGGATGTGGGGGAGAGAGACCCCAGGAGGGAAAGGAATGGTAGTCACAGCCATCCCCCCACTCTCCCTCTCCATTTCCACCTGTAGTATTCCCTCACAATGGAAAAGAGGATTGAAAAATAAACTCAGCAGCTGGGATGGTTGTGAAAGCCTTACTGATCCTGGAAAACTGCAGCCACTCCACTTAGCCCAGACACAGAAATAAACCAGGCAGAGTCTAAAAGAAACCAGGTGTATCCTAAAAGAAATTTGGTAGAGCAGACAAAAATAGGCAGCCTGTAGGGGAATATCAATGAAAATATAAGGCAGAGAACAGGTATTATACTTCAGCATGGAGTAATGGGAAGACTTCCAGATGTGAGGTTGAGAGCTCCCAGGGTTCTAGTCTGGACTTTATCATAAGAGGTGCATGATCTTGAGTGGAACATTTCACTGCTCTAGCCTTCAGTTTCCTCAGCTACTAAATGCGGACTATCAACTGCCCTGCTTACCTCTGTCTGTCAGTACTGTTGTGAGGAATAAACCAGACACTGATTGGGAAAGGATCTTGAAAAGTTAACCCGCACAAGTTAACCCAATTATTCTTTCAGGGGTCCCACCTGCAATTTGGGCTGAGCTGACAGCCGCTCTCCTCCCTTGTGTCTTGATAATTCCTCTCCTCGCGTGCGTCTCATTGCAGGTGGGGCAGAGGTCAGGTTCCTGCGGACCTGAGCCTTGGCAGACTGCCCACTCATGGGCCGCCAGAAGAACTTTTTTGCCCAGGACTTCTTGCTCCTGATAGACCTGTTCACTAAGTCAGCAAGTGTCATGTGGTCCTCCTCCATGAAGACCTGCCCCCACAGAAGAGAAACCATCCTAAAATAAGGACTTGAATTTGGCTGGCTCCTCAGTCTGGATGCTTGCTAATTATTGAGTTTCTCCTAGGGAAAAAAAAAGGGGAGGAAGTGTAGTATAATGGAAAAAGCACTACGTTTGGAGTCGAGGACCTGCGTTCAAAATCCAGCTCCGACGTATGTGACCTTGGCCAATCACTTAACCTCTCTGGGCCTCAGTTTTGCTATCTGTAATATAAGTTTGTATTTTGAGGACAGGGCAGGGATTGGATTGGACTAGAAGGCCTCTAAGGTCCTTTCCAGCTCTAAGACTACAAGCCTATGAGAGAGCATCTCAGATAGGTGTCAGGCCACACCCTGGTAGAGAAGTAAGTTAAGTGGTTAGGGGGGTGGAAACTGCGAGTGGTGAGATCTAGGTTCTAAACTCAGATCCTCTGCTAATCAGTTATGCGACTTTGCATAGGTAACTTCTCTCTAAGCCTCACTTTCCACATGTGAAAATAAGGAGGGTTCATGATCTCAGACACTTTCTCAGATACTCAGATACTCAGACATATTCTAGCACATAACAAGACCATCTCTTGAGCTCAAAAGTCCTGAGCTACAGGAGGGCTAAAGCCAATTCCGAGTCGACTCTAAATCCTATGGTGAGCCCCCAGGAGCAGAAACTACCAGGTTGTCTAAGGAAGGATCGAATCAACCCAGGTCCAGAATAGAGCAGGCCAACGCTCTCATGTTAATCAGGTGTGGGATCAGGCCTGAGAGTGCCTGCTGCCCTTCTAGCCTGGGCTAGTTAGGAAGAACCCGTCTCTGAAAGGAGAGAAAAGGCAGACGGGAGAACCGGAAGGGGAGAAAGAAAAGAAAGAGGAGGGGAGGGAAGAGAAAAGCTAGATTTCAAGCTATTGTCCACTGGCCCATCTTCTTAATTTATCCAGTTCTCCGACTTTCCCTGAACCCCACACTTAGGGCACAGCTCGCCTCTGCACAGCCCTACTCAACACTATTAATAAATTGAAAGGGAGGCGAAGGGTTCCCCTTGCACATACCTTCTTGGATTTCAAGGCCAGGGGACTTCTTGAAGCATTGAAATAAACAAAGGGCTTCCCCCAGCTGACGTTCCAGATGAAAATGTCACCATTATAGGAAGCTGATCCCAGGATGTGGCTACGGTACTTGGCCAGACACAGGATATCCTCAGTGTGAAAGTAAGGCCAGTGGTCATACACGGGGATTACTTCCTTGTTTCGATACCTGGGACAAACCATCAGTCATCTGCCAAGAATAAAGGTGCTTTCCTACCTCAGAACTCCCATGGCCTTCAGCAAGGTTCTGCTGACTCTTAAAGGCAGTTGGAATGCAGACCCATGTAATGCTCTGCTTCTCACATCAAAACTTTCTTTCAACCTAGAATCACAGAATCTCAAAAATTGAGAGGGATCTCAGAGGTTCCTAGCCCAACCACTACCTGAACCCTTGTATCACATACTCAAGGTCACTGAACCTAAGAAAGTGCTCAAGCACCTTCCCTGATGTAGAGGGAGACCAAAGCCTCATGATCTGGCTCATTCTACTGTCAGATACATCTAAATGTTATAAAAGTTCCCCTCTATAGTGACTCTAATTCTATCTCCTTGTAATTGCCACCCACTAGTCCAAGATTCAGAGAATCTCAGAGTTAGAAGGGTTTCCCTGAGGTAAGAGAGTTCTGTACCTCAATGAGAAGTTTATTGAATGAATTAATGAACAAAGCATAAAATCAAATTAGCTTTTTTTTTTTTTTTGCGTTGTTGATATATTGAGCTTGTAGTCATTAAAACCCCAGGGACTTTTTAACCAAAAATTACTCTCTGGTTATGCCTCTCCTTAGGGAGCTTTTTTTTTTCAAACTTAAATGCAGAACTTCACATTTATTCCTATTAAATTCAATCCCTCAGTTTTAAAAGGGGGAGTTTGGGGGTTAGCATACCAAGATCCAGAAATGACTTTTCTTTCTTTCGACTTCAGTGATCACTCTTCATTTTTCTCGTGCACCTTATACTCCACTGTGCACTACAGTCATTATACATTATTGCACCTTGTGGGATCCTATCCCCCTCGCTATAGAGTGGGAGCCATGTGAGGGCAGTGTGACTGTGCTTTATTGATCTTTAACGGCTCTCCAATTCTTAGCAGCCTTCTGCACATAGGGAGCCTCAATACACGGCTTTTGACTGACTTGCCTAACAAGTCATTACCACAGAGGGAATAGTGCCCCCCATGGGAACAGGTCTCTGTCCAATATTACAACCATCTGGATGAAGCAAGGACAGGGAGGAAGAGAAAACTGAGGCAGAATGCAGGGGTTAGTGCAAGGGGAACACAGCCCTTCCCATGACCAGATACTTCCTACTTACAGGTACCAAGAGATCCTCTTACTCCACCCTGCCACGTAGAATACCCCATTCATATGAGTGATTCCACTAATCTGTTGGAGAATAAAGAAGACCAATCTCTCAGACAACTCTGAGAAAAGAGTTGTGCGTGTGTGTATGTCTGTGTATGACTCTGTGTGTGTGTGTGTGTGTGTGTGTGTGTCCCAAGTGTGTAGGTGAAGAGAGACCTAGTTTCAAGTGATGGTTCTGAGTAAACTGTGTGACCCTGCGAAAGTCACTTGACCTATCTGAGCCTCAGTTTCCTAATCCATAAAATGAAGATAAAAACATATGCACTACCTCCTTTGCTAGAAGCACTTTGAGCTATTTTATTCCTTTTGGAGATAGGAAGAAATATATACACTTCACTCTGTCAGATTGTCTTATTCTGGTGTCTTACATCATTCTTTTCAAAACAGTTGTTCACTTTATCTCATTTGCTGTTCCTAACACCTGGGGAAGGGAGGAAAAGTAAAGCTTCTTATTCCCATTAACCTTGCCCATAAGAGTAGCAGTGTGGTATGGGGGAATAGGAGGGCAGCTAGTGGCACCATAGAGTACACAGTGCCAGGCCTGGAGTCAGGAAGACTCATCTTCCTGAAAGCAAATTCAGCCTCAGAGATTTACTAGCTGAGTGACCTTGGGCAAGTCACTTAACCCTGTTTGCCTCAGTTTCCTCATCTGCAAAATGAGCTAGAGAAGGAAATGGCAAACCACTGCAATACCTTTGCCATGAAAACTCTAAATGGGGTCACAGAGAGCCAAACAGGACTGAACAACAACAACTTGGAGCCAGAAAGACCTGGGTTCGAGTCCTGCCTCTAATAGATACAGGTTGTGTGACCCTGGGCAAGTTACTTAACTACTCTATGTTCCAGGCAACTGTCTAAACTGTGAGTTAGGGAAGAGTTGTTAATCTGTATCAATGGATAGAGTTTATACATTGGGAGTTCCCTACATACATGATAGCTTAGATCCAATAAATAAATAAAAGATCCTTGCCTACAATCTGAATTTTTCCCACTTTTCAGCCCTTGGGGACACTGACCTCCATTCGATCTGGATTGGGAAAGTGCAACAGGCAGACGCCAATGTTGTAATTCCACATTTTGACTGTCCCGTTTCTCATGCCAGTGATGAGGCACCGCTCCAGCTCATCCAGGACCATCGCTGTGAGCTCCACATCCTTGGACTCTGATGCTGAAAACTCTACTACCTTCTTCCCTGTCATCAACTCCCACACGCTCACCATGCCACTCAGGCTGCCGGTCACCACCTACCGAAAACAGATCTGGGAAGCCTAGGGGCCTTCCTTGTCAACATGGCAGGGTTAGACTCCATTAGGTAGGATAAGGGCAGATCTACAATATTACACTACCATAAGCAGGTCTCCCAATGAGCTGTGCTTGAAATTAAGACATGACTCTGCAGCTAGAACTATCCCAGGTGGATCATTAGGTTCTCACCTGGGATAGCTGTACCTACAGGGTACCCTATCCCCAGCTGATAAACCTGGGCCACGGAAAGTTCCATGCAAGAGATACAGGTATAACACAACACATACCAGACCAGTAGGGTTCCTCTAACAACTCACTGCGTGACACTGAATGAGTCACATTGCCCTCTCAGGATCCCCATTTCTTTATCTTTAAAATGAGCATGTTGGAATTACATCACATAAATATGATGGAATACTACTATGTTATAAGAAATGAGAAAAGAGACAGTTTCAGAGAAGCTGGGAAGACTTATATGAACTAATGCAATGTGAAGTAAGCAGAACCAGAACAATTTATACAATAGCAACAACACTGTGAAGACAAACAACTTTGAAGGATTTCAGAACTCTGATCAATGCAATGACCAACTGGGATTCCAGAGGACTAATGAAGCATACTACCTACCTCCTGGTGATGGACTCAGGGTTCAGAATGAGACATATATTTTTTGGACATGGCCAATATAGAAATACGTTTTGCTTGACTAAGTATATTTGTTAAAGGGATTTTGTTTTTCCTTTTTTTCCCAATTGGGGGGAGGGAGGGGAGGGTGGGAGGGAGAGGTGAGAAGAGAAAATAGATTCGCTAATTTTTAAATAAATATAATTTATAAAAAAATAAACATGTTGGACTATAGAAACCTCTATGGTCCCTTCCAACTCTTAATTTCTGTTTCAAACACTCTTCCATTGCTGATGTTCCATGACTGTTCTGTAAGAGACTACAGAGACTGTTAGATGGCCCATTGGATAGAGCACCGGCCCTGGATTCAGGAAGACCTGAGTTCAAATCTGGCCTCAGACACTTGACACTTACTAGCTGCGTGACCCTGGGCAAATCACTTCACCCCATTGCCTCACAAAAACCAAACAGAAAAAAAAAAGAAAAAAGAGAGAGAAACTACAGATGGTTCAGTGCAACCTATCCCACAATTCTGAAAAAACTCAGAGTACAAATCCATCCTACTGATGGGGGCAAATTGAGCCTCCAGTCCAGTGCTCTAACCATTCCATGCTCCCCTCCCCAGCTCCTTCCCATGAGGGCAAAGCTTCAGTGACCTCACTGAGAAGCATCCATACTACATTGAGTCTTTCAGGGATGCTAAAAAGATAGGTGCCCATCACAGCACACCAGACCTGTTTTAGGTCTAATCACTTCTAATCACTTTATTGTCTGGGGCACAACCATTCCTCCATGTTCTCAACCTGGAACCTTCACCTCTCAATTCCAATCAGTCACCAAGTCCTCTTGATCACCCTCTGCAGCATCAGTTGCAAGAATCCCCTCCTCTCTTCTCTATTTCTCAGGCCACTGTCCTAGTCTAAGGCCACCAATGCCTGTCATTTGGACTACTGCCATAGCATCCTAATTAGCATTCTTCCCTAAACGTTCTCCTTAGTTCAATCTAATCTTCATATCCCTCTCTCAGAAGATTCTTTCTGATCTAGTCATATCATTCCTCTCTTCAAAAATTTTCACTGCTTCCTTATTTCCTAAATCCACAGGCCTTTGCCCAGTGTTCAAAATCCTCCACAACATGGCACCACCATACCTTTCCAGCCTTATCTTAGATTATTAGCTTCCAAGCACTCTACGCACCTACCAAACTGGCATACTCTCTGATCCCATTATTGTACCATGCACATTTTCCTCTATGGTTTGGTCCCAATATTCCCTAAGATAATTCCCTTCCCTGCCTCTCCCTATCTCCAAACACTGAATTCCTGTCCAACCTTTAAAACCCAGCTCACAGGCTCATGAATTTAGAAATGGAAGAAAGCTTTCTACTTAGCAGAACTCCTCTAGCTTCTAGGAGGCAACATGATTCAAATCCCATTTCAGAAGCTACCTGTGTGATTTTCATCAAGTCCCTTAACCTTCCTAGATCTCAAGTTTCCTCATCTGTAAAAAGGAGATGATTGGAGAAAATTATCTCTACAGTCTCTTCAAGCTCTGAATCTATGATTCTATGATTCCTACTATGAGCAAGGGAGAATGGACAAGTATTTCCTCTATTCATAACTGCTGCAGAAAGAGATCCATGGCCACATACCAGGTAACCTAACACACACACAGCAATTCCTGGGACTGCGGAGCCAGTTTCTAGGCCAGTGTCATATCCATACCGTCAGAAGACTGTTTTCTTCCTTTGACTCTGTTATGATTCTGCAGATTTAGCTGCTGTCCTTACCTGCCTGAACGTCTTGCTGTAAAGGACCCCACACACGGCTGTATGATGGGTGGTAGACTCTTCCTCTATTTTCCTGCTCCCTTCCTGGGCCTCTAGATAGCCACTAAGAATCCCAATCTGTGCATGAGGAAAGATGAGACAAACTGAAAATCAGGATGGTCTTGTCTTCTACGACAGTCGCCAATCCACAAGCATTATTAGATACCTGTTCGGTGCCAATCATTGCACTAGTTGCTAAGGATACAACAAAAATAAGACAGCCTCTCCCCTCCAAGAGCTTATATTCTATCAGGGAAAACAACATGTACAAGGATAGGAATAAACTAGGGATATATAAAATGCATACTCTGAGAAGCCAAAACAAGGACAAGAATTATCAAAACCCACCAAATAACCAGTACTTAATGAGTGCCCATCATATATCTCAGGCTGAGACATTAACTGTTTTCTAGGGACCATGGAAGCAAGATCGAATGCGCTTTCTTAAGACAAAATAGGATGAGAAGTGCTCTGGACTTGGAGTCAGATAGATTCACTGACTTTATCACTTACTAACAGATGACATGTGGTATATTGGAAAGAACACTGGATTTTAAGTCACAAGGCCTGGGAATCTAATCCTGGTTCATTCTTTAACTGCCTGTAACCATAGGAAATTCATTTTATTTCTCTAGACCTCAGTTTCCTTATGTGTAAAATGAGGAAATTTGACTAAATTGTTTCTAAGGTCCCTCCCTTCCAGCTTTAACAACTGATGATTTTATTAACAGTTTTACCATGGATAAGTTATGTAACCTCTCTACGCCTCCATTTCCTCATCTGTAAAATAAGGATAATAACACTTGACATTACCTGTCTCATGGGATGTTATGTTTACTCTGGTAAACCATCATGCATTACAGAAATGTGAGGCAGTATTTTTGTTATAATAACTATTATTATTATTGTTGTTGTTGCAATCTCCACTCACCAAGGCTCAATGATTCTCTAGTACTCAGACTTAGTTCTCCCAAACTATCACATTTCCACAATCCAGGTATCAATCTACATAGTCCCCTATACCCTGTCTCTGTACCTTTATACTGGATGTCCCCCATTCCTGGAATGCAATCCTACCTCAGCTCTTCCTCAAAGAGTTCCTCTCTTTCTTCAAAATGCTCAAACACCATCTTCTACATGAAGCCTTTCCTGACCCACCCCCCTCCCAACTGCTAGGGCCCTCCCTTCCAAAGTACCCTGCATCCAACTACTGTGTATTTATTCTTTTGATATTTATTCTGCATATACTTAGACATGGACTACTTGTTTTTCCCCATTAACATGTAAGCTCTTTATAAGTAGGGATTGTTTCATTCATTGCATGTGCATCCCTAGCATGTAGCATGCTATGTTTAATAAATGCTTGTTGATTGACTGAGCAAGCAGCTTGCACCCTTCTAATCTGTTTTTTAATTAGGCAATTGGGGTTAAGTGACTTGCCCAGGGTCACACAGCTAGTAAGTGTCAAATGTTTGGTCTGAGGTCGGATTTGAACTCAGGGCCTCCTGACTTCAGGGCCGGTGCTCTATCCATTGAGCCACCTAGCTGCCCCACACCCTTCTATTATTAAAATAGCATTTTACTTGTGTCAGCAATTTTAGTTCATAAAGTACTTTATTATCCACCACCTCACTAGACCCTCACACAAGTCAATTTAATAAGACTAGTAATAATGGCAACTAAAAAATTAAAAATTTTAAAATGGCAACTGACATGTGTGAATGTATATATACATATATATATACATACACATACATATATATAATTAGATGTTTGTGTAATTATTTATATATAAATATATAAATTGAAATATTTATCAAGAAATATATATTATTTATATAGAAATTATTTGTATATTTGTATGTTATATTTATTATACATATTATATTTCTATGTTATATATTGTATTTTTATTTTTGTCATGATATATTTCTACATAATGTATTGTATTATATGTTATATTTCTGTGTGATATATTATTTATTATATTACTATATAAATATTTTAACATTTTCTTTTATATATACTATACATATGCATATATGTGGCTTACAAAACTCATTATCCTCATCTGATATTTACAACAATCCTGTAAAACAGGGAGATTATCATCCCTATTTTACAGAGGGGTCCAGGGAGATGAAGCCTTCACTGCAAATAGGGAACTCTCTCTCTTCCTCTTGGGCTTTCAATTGCTCTCTATATCACTCATATGATAGTACCCCTAGACGGCACCTTGGATGATTTAACTTTTCATGTATCTCTCTAGCTGGACCATGAGCTTCTTAGAAGCAGGAACCACGTTTTGTATCCTCCAGAGTACCCAACAAATTGTCTTATTATACCAGTTGGTACCCAAGAACTGTTTTGTTGCTAGACTGAATTTTTCATTTCAGATTGCTGCCTAGAACTAAGATGACGCCATTGCGTCCAGAAAGTAGCACAATGGTGGGACTGAGGGTCTAGGGAGTCTCTACTGGCCTACAGGAGTGGACATGATCAAAGCAGGAGAGAGAAGCAGAGCCCAGAGACCTGATAGTACCTTTCACTTGCCTAGTCTATGAGACCTAGGTGCTACTCCCCTGAGAAAGCTTACCCTGTCTATCCCAATGCATAATTCCCCTTCTACCTTCAGGCCCCACTTAGCCCTTTCTTGTACCTCTCATGTCTTTATCATGTGATATTTTGTATTATAATTATCCATATAAATGCCTTAATCCCCTCCTAGAAGATAAACTTCAGGAAGGGGGAGGGGACAATGTTGCATCAACTTCAAGTCTCTTTAATGCGAGTGCTCTGCACACAACAGCCCCTTATTAAGTTTCTGCCAGAATTGAGCTGTTCCTGCTCAGTGACCATTATCTAACCTAGATCTGTATCCTCTTTCCTGAATCTTGTTCTAATGCTTCTGCCATGTCAAACCCTGTGATTCAAATTCCCCGACCTAAACTTGTGATTGCTCTCTGCTCAGTCCTCTGGGGAGGCTACATTGAAGACGCAAAGAGCACTGTATTTGGAGTCAGAAGACCTGGGTTCAAATCCTGGCTCTGACCCGTATGACCTTGGGCAAGTGCTTTAACATCTTATGAATTTGTTTCTGTATCTACAAGGTGAGAAGGAGTAGAGGGAGTAGATGAAGTGATCCCTAGCATCTCTTCCAGTTCTAAATCTTATGATCCTAGACTAGAATTCTCATTGGCTTTTTGAGGAACCAGGGATCATTGGATTGGGAAGCAATACCCAAAAAATAAACCATCCTATGTCTCCCAAATGTAATGCAATGCCCATTGACTAAATCCAAACAAATCCCCCACCACCACCAAAGCTTGTCACTCACCGAATAGGTACCACAAATAAAGGTGTCATTGGCCTTGTGGAAGTAAGCACTGGTAATAGGATGATTCCCCAGGGCAAAAAATTTCCCTGAAAAGGACTGGAAACACAGAAAGTTGTGTGTATCCCATAGACGAATGTTCTGAGGGGGAGAAATATAGAGAAATTAGGATGATGGCACAGATTATTTCGTTGAAAAGTTCTGAAAGGTAGGTTGGCAAGTATTATCTATCCCTATTTTTCAGGTAAGGAAATGAGGCTCAGAGAGACTAGGGAGATCTAGAGCTAAAAAGAACTTTATAAATTGTCTAATCAAAACCCCTTCATTTTGCAGAAGAGGAAACACAGGCCCAGAAAGGTGAAGTGATTTAGCTAAAGTCATATAGCTATGAAGTGACAGGACTAAGATTTGAACTCATTCTCCAACTCCAAATCCAATGTTATTTCCCTTTACCTCAGGCTGCCTCTTCAATGTTAGACAACCCAAACACAAGTCTTAGACTAGTGACGGTAAAAATGATAAGGATGAAATACAATATCTATCCCTCAAGCCCTAAATAGCTGTAGCCATGTCCTGTCCCCATCAGTATGACAGTACAAAATGGCAGCCAGAGCTCTAGGTTGGGGGCCAGGACTCCTGACCACACCCCATGTGGCTTTGGATAAGTACCTTCCCTTCTCTGGGCCTGTCATATGAATGTATTGGATATCTAATTATTGAAGTCCCTTAGACAGACCTAATAGTATGATTAAGACCTATGTGACATGGAGAGCTCTGCCATAAGGCAGGGCTTACCTGTGTTAGGGCAGGATTTAAGGAGGCCCTAAAAGCCCTCTCTTTCCCAAAGGAGCTCTCTTCACCAGCCTGCCTAGGTGTCTTTTGACACCCAATCTAATGCTGTTTCCATTATACCATAATGTCCCCAAAGGAAAACTCCTAGGAATATTATAGCCAAATTCCAGAGTTCCCAGGTCAAGGAGAAAATATTGCAAGTAGCCAGAAAGAAACAATTCAAGTATTGTGGAAACACAATCAGGATAACACAAGATTTAACAGCTTCTACATTAAGAGACCACAGGGCATGGAATATAATATTCCAGAGGGCAAAGGAGATAGGATTACAACCAAGAATCACTTAGCCAGCAAAACTGAGTATAATCCTTCAGGGGAAAAATGGCCATTCAGTGAAATAGGGGACTTTCAAGCATTCTTGATAAAAAGGCCAGAGCTGAATAGAAAATTTCACTTTCAAATACAAGACTCAAGTGAAACATGAAGAGGTAAACAGGAAAGAGAAATCATAAGAGACTTATTAAGGTTGAACTGTTTACACTCCTGCATAGAAAGATGATATTTGTAATTCATGAGACCTTTGTCAGTATTAGAGTAGTTGGAGGGAAAAATTATATTTATGTATATAGATACATAGATAGATAGATAGATAGATAGATAGATAGATAGATAGATAGATAGATAGATAGATAGATAGATAGATAGAGGGCACGGGGTGAGTTGAAGATGAAGGGATGATATCTGCAGAATAAAATTAAGGGGTGAGAGAGGATTATACTGGGAGAAGGAGAAAGGGAGAGGTAGAATGGGGTACATTATCTCACATGAAACAGAAAAGAAAAGGCTTTTACAGTGGAGAGGAAACTAGCGGAGGTAAGAGGAAATGAGTGAATCTTATTCTCATAGGATTTGGCTTAAGGAGGGAACAACATACACACTCAATTGGGTATGGGAAGCTATCTTACCCTACAGGAAAATAGGGGGAGAAGGGGACAAGAGAGCAGGTGGATGATAGAGCGAGGGCAGAATGGGGGAGGGGGTAATCAGAAGTAAACACTTCTGAGGTGGGACAGGATCAAAAGAGAGAATAGAATAAATGGGGGGGGATAGGATGAAGGGAAATATACTTAGTTTTTTCACAATATGACCACTATGGAAGTGTTTTGCATGACTTCACATGTATAACCTGTATCAAGTTGCTTACCTTTTCAATGAGGGTGGGTGGGGAGGAAGGAAGGGAGAAAATTTGGAACCCAAAGTTTTAAAAATGCATGTTAAAAAAATTGTTTTCACATGCAACTGGGAAAGAAGAAATACAGGAAATGGGGTATAGAAATCTATTCTATAGGAAAATAGAAGAGGAAGGGGATGAGAGAAGGAGAGGAGAGATAGAAGGGAGGACAGATTAGGGGAAGGGATATACAGAATGATGCTATCTTGGGGTGGGGGGAGGGATGACATGGGGAGAAAATTTGGAACTCAAAATCTTGTGGAAGTGAATGTTGAAAACTAAAAATTTTTTTAAAAATTTAAAAAAAAAACATTATACCATAATGCTTCTTTCAGGTTAAACAAAGGACCAGTAAAAATAAAAATATGGTAACTGAGATAGCATTAACTCATCAGGACACCAGGTTCACACTAACCTGCAATTCATTAGTCACATGGGCAGAAAGCAAGTGAATTTGGGAAGAGGTGAAATAATATGATAGAGGGGCTGGAACCCTGCATATGAAGTCTGTATTCAAATCCCAGGCAGGTCACAAGGTCTGTGTGACTTTGACGGCCTTATTTTATTTTACTTTTTTTATTATCAGATATGATTTCACTGATGTAGAGAGTTCCTAGCAAGGGGTCCCCTCTACCAGTTCTGCCTGGGGCAGCAAGATGTGAAATGATTTCCCTAAGGTCACACAGCCTGTATGTGGCATAGGTAAGACTTGAACTCGGGTCTTCCTAACTCTGGAGCCAGCTGTCTTTCTGCTATACCACTATGCCTCTTTCAGGGACTTATTTTCTTTCTCTAGAAAAAGGATAGGTGGATAGAGCACCAGCCCTGGAGTCAGGAGGACCTGAGTTCAAACTCGGCCTCAGACACATAACACTTACTAGCTGTGTGACTCTGGGCAAGTCACTTAACCCCAATTGCCTTACCAAAAAAAAAAGAAAGAAAAAGAAAAAGGATAGGGTTGAGTTCTATGATCCCTAAGGTCTTCCATAGCTCTAAACCTTATGATCCTATATTACACAGACAGGACCCCAAAGCTGGGGGCTCTGAACAGTTTGGTAAAAGCAGGACAGGCCTGGATATACCAAAGGAGAAGACACTGAAGTCAAACCGAGGATGGGAGGGCTCAAATACCAACTTCACCTAAAGCAGGCTCCTCTTTTAATTCAGTGTGTAACCTTGAACCAGCTGCTTCCCTATGGCCACAATTTCTGCCTCTAAAATGACAGGGATGGACTCTAGATGGCCTCCAAGGGGTCCTCCCTAGGAAATGGAAAAGAGGGGCTTGTACAGAGATTATCATTGTGGGAGATAGTACTTTGTCTTTGGAGATGCTGATGATGCAGCTGCTTTTTCCATTCACAATAACATGAGTCACTGAGGTCTGGTGTCCCTTCATCCGCCACATGGGCTTCTTTATGAAGAGAGGATTCCATAGCAGAATGATTGGATCATAACCACCTGTCACTGTGATTTAAAAAAAAAAAGGATCAATCTAAACATGTATCAGATCCTGAAACAAGGACCCTTCTTCCATAAAGGAGGTAAGACCTCATTCCTCAGCTAGAGAAGGAAGGAAGAAAGGAAGGAAGGAAGGAAGGAAGGAAGGAAGGAAGGAAGGAGGGAAAGAAGGAAGGAAGGAAGGAGGGAAGGAAGGAAGGAGGGAAGGAAAGAAGGAAGGAAGAAAGGAAGAAAGGAAGGAAGGAGGGAAGGAAGGAGGGAAGGAAAGAAGGAAGGAAGGAAGAAAGGAAGGAAGGAAGGAAGGAAGAAAGGAAGGAAGAAAGGAGGAAAGGAAGGAAGGAAGAAAGCAAGGAAGAAAGGAAGGAAGGAAGGAAGAAAGGAAGGAAGAAAGGAGGGAAGGAAGGAAGGAAGGAAGGAAGAATGGAAGGAAGAAAGGAAGGAAGGAAGGAGGGAAGGAAGGAAGGAAGAAAGAAAGGAAGGAAGGAAGGAAGGAGGGAAGGAAGGAAGGAAGGAAGAAAGGAAGGAAGGAAGAAGGGAGGGAGGGAAGGAAGGAAGGAGGGAGAGAGGGAAGGAGGAAGTAAGAAGGAAGGAAGGAGGGAAGGAAGGAGAAAAGGAAGAGGAAAGGGAAGAGGGAAGGAAGGAGAAAATGAAAGGAGGAAAAGAGGAAAAGGGAGGGATAAGAGAGGGAGGGATGAAGAAAAAGAAGGAGGGAGACTCCTGTCATGTACCAGGCACTGTGCTGAGTGCTTTGCAAATGTTGTCCCATTTCATGCTCACAATAACCCTGAGAGAGAGGTATTGTAATTAACCTCATTTTGTAGTTGAGGAAACAATATAAACAGATGTTAAATGACTTGCCCAAGATCGCACAGCTAGTAAGTATCCGAAGCTGGATTTTAACTCAGGTCTTCCTGACTCCAGACCCATCAGTCTATTCACTAAACCACTGAGGTAACTCTAGACAATTTCACTCTTCATCTTCTCCGTCTGCCTAATCAACCTTTCAGAAAACCTGTCCAAATTCTCCTTCAGGCCACCTCCAGATGTTCTCCCAAGCTCCATACTATGCCAAAATTTCTTTCTCAACCAGCCCTCTTCCCTCATTTCCTCCAGGAAGTCTATCCTTTCTCCCCTTGGAAGAGAAGTAGCACATCCCCTCTTTGTCTCCCTCTGCCCAAACACATCAAAGTTAAGTTTGCTATCTCATCCTCTTTCAGCACCTGGACAAATACATCCAATCTTCTCCTATGCCTGACTTTAAAATTAATGTTACTTCTTAATATGTTGTTTGTGCAAAAATCTGTTCATGTTAATTCTCTCCTAAAAAATCTTCAGTGGCTCTTTACTGAATAAAATAATGAATAAAAGTCAAAATTCCTTTGCCTAGGATTCAAGGCACTCCACAATCTGACTTTATTTGTTATGACTCCCTTCCATATACCTTACACACCAACCAAACTGGACTACTCTCTGTCCCCTGAAACATGCATGGTCCTGTCCTGCCTCCATGTCTTTGCCCATGCTATTCCATATGCCTGTAACATATTTTCTCCCCTTATTTGCCAGTTAAATTCCTCCCTGTTTTGGGTTTGGATCCATGCCTCACCCACATCATAATAAACTATAGTGGGCTCAGTAATCTAATATTTTTTTAATTTAAAAAGTAGAAGGAAATAATGCCTCAGCTACAGAAATGAAAGATATTTTTAATCAAAAAATAATAATTGGAAACAAAGTCAATTGATTTGATTATATAGAAATAAAATAATTTTACACAATAAAAAAGCATTTTCTCTAAAATTAAAGAAATAGATTCAGGAAAATGTCTGCAATATGTGAGACAAGTTCATGGGCCGTAACTTAAGAACCCCTGGTCTATATCAAATAATGCTCAATCAGCAGAACCAAAACTGTATGCACATTGATTGTAAAATATACCCCCCCCCAAAAAAAGAAGAAAGGAATAGAGGGAATAAAGAAGGTAAAAATGAGAAGAATGAAAGGAAGGCAGGCCAGAGGGAGCAGAATTCTAAATAGATCTGGAAGCATAGACAGAACAAAAGCATGTTCTTAGCTTGGTCATGGTTTTGTACGTATAGATGTGTGTGTATCTATCTATCTATAGATAGATGTTTACTGAGTCTATATCTATATCTATATCTATAGATATGTGTGTGTGTATATATATATATATATATATATATATATATATATATATAATTTGGCCCTAACTTAGGGCCAAAATTAAATGCTAAGGTTTTTTTTTACAAGATTTTAACCCTTTTATTTTATATGCTTTTATTGATCCTTTTTGTTGATAGTTATTATTTATAATTTTTTAAAAATTTAACACCTAACAATCTTTTAAAGACCAAATACCTTGTCCTCCATGAAGCCTTTCCTGATCCCCTTTTTGCTTTTTGGGATCTTTTTGCTCCCAAGTCTTGCTTTCAAGGGAACATTTGAGTCCAACAATTCCCTTCCACCAAATACTGCCCTCTTTTTGGAGGCACCAGTGCTGGCCTCAGCAGCTCTGTTCACATTCAGTGACTGGTACCTCACTGAAGGAGGTGGGGCAGATAATGAGAAGAAATACAAGGAAAACTCACCAAGGAAGTTCCTGTCTGGACAGTAATCGAAACATAGAATTCCCTTCCTCAGAGTCATTATGGAACTTCTGAAGTATAAAAGAAAGAAAGATCATAGATATGAGCAAAGGTGCCATAAATCAAAAATATTATTACTATTGTTGCTGAGGAAGATTTAAAAAAATAGACAAGACATAGTCCCTGCCCTCATAGAGTTTACATTCTAGCAAAAGAAGTAACATATTATACATATACAAAAATTGCACAATTTCATAACTATATTGGCAAAATATAATGAGGTACAAAGTGTCATGTGAGATCAAGAAAAAGGAAACTAATTTCTAATTAGGAGGAACAGACAACACTTCATGGAGGAGGTGGTATTTCATGGAGGGGGCTGGGAAGAAAAATTAGCATAGGACCTTGAATATAGTAGGGACTCAGTAAAGATTTGTTGGATATAGAAAAAATCCCTTAGCCTGGCATTCAAAGCCACCTTCTTGCCTTTCTAGCTTTACTTCCCATACTCTCACATATAACACATACTACATGTTTCAGCTAAACTGAGACACTCAGCAGTCCCTGATCTCCTCCTGATTTCTCCTGCCTTCATGCTTTTGTTCAGTCCATCACACACACACACACACACACACACACATACACACTTGGACTTTCCCTTCTCCTTTCCCCACCTTCTAGAATCATTTCTTCCCATCAAGTCTCAATAGTTTAAAAGTCCATGATTCCTGCTCTACTGAAGATTGAAACTCCCCTTATCACCTCAAAATGCCTATTTCTATGCCTACATTTCATTCCTACTAAACAGCACAGGAAAAGGTGTACGTCTTTTCTAAGGTTAGTCCCTCTGCCTTAAGCTCTCCATCTCATCTCCTTCCATCTGCTAAGGCAATTTTTCCCTTCAATTGTCTCCTCTTTCAAAAGAAATAAGAGAGCATCAATGAAACAGTTTTAAATTGTGCAGAAAAAAAGAGCAGAAGGAAGGTCAGAAAATGGCACAGGTAGACAGGACAGCTTTGAAAATATTATATGAATATATACCTTAGGGGCAGCTAGATGGCGCAGTGAATAGAGCTCTAGCCTTAGAGTCAGGAGGACCTGAATTCAAATCCAACCTCAGACACTTTATACTTACTAGCTATGTGACCCTGGGCAAGTCAATTAACCCCAATTGCCTCACCAAAAAAAAAAAAATTTATATATGTATATACACACACACACACACACACACACACACACACACACACACACACACA